TCTCAATTTAACTCAGCATTCACAATAAAAGCCCCAAGGCTGCCGATTAATCTTTCTTTTAGTCCTTAGGAATTCATGTTATGAGCAGACATTCACCTTCTGACCCCAGCTTTGTTTGGCATGTAGGTAATTCCACCCTCATTGTAGTTTAAAAGGTGGATTGCAGAACTCCCTTGAAGTATTGTGTCAGTTTTATAAATACACCAAACACAGAATTGTGGGGTAATATGAACCCCTCATTTACATCACTGGATACAGAACTAGCTTTTCATTTTGCTGTGGATAGAGCTGAAAACACAGATCCTGAGGATAGCAGACAGAAATGAGATACACTGGGGAATCAGGGAGCACCAGTGAAAGCATCCCAACCTGTCTTTCCTCTGATCTATTAATTATCAAGAGATAAGACATCTTCAATTGAAATAAATCTATGGTTAGTGTTACATAGAAAGACTATAATGTCATGGAGCATAGCATTTTATTTTAATGGCAGATTTATTTTAATAGCTTTATGACTTTCTCTCCTGCATTCATATGTTTAGGTTCTAAAGAGATCATTAACTTTTTTTAAAGTTTATACTTTGGGACCTTTTATGGAAAAAATTTTAACTATGGTGGAATCCGCAGAAGAGGATTCATAAGGCTCACAGACATCTTTCATGGTGTCCAGAGCCTGTTGAATATAAAATACCTAGTTTTATACTGACCTTGTCTGGTAAATGAACTGGAAAGGAAAGTTCCCACAGGGGGAGTGTCCCTATGGGGTGAAGCTGAAGACAGGACACTTTTTGGTTTACAAGCTACACAGGGAAAATCGGTCTGTTTTTTCATTTGACTTTTAACCAAAAAATGTTTTAGCCAATCTGACCCTCTGCCTTACCCATCAAGCTGGATTCCAAATGCCTTTTATCTTTCACCATGAATCAAACCCCCTTCAAAGGATAAAGATTCATTGCCGTGGAGGCCACAGGCTCTGAAAGAACATCTCCCCAAAGGGCTTCCCAAATGCCCTGAGGAAACAGCACTGTTGAGATAGATGTGTGATGTCCCCCAAGGAGACCACTCTGAGAGGAGTGACATTTAGCTGCGTGTCTACAGTTCAGCATTTTGACTGAGAACAAGCACATGACTCTAAGGCTGTCGCTCATTGACGTTATGGCTGTCATTTGTATTTCATTTGTCACTGTCATTGTTCTCAAGAGTAATAAACCCCCGTTTACCACTGACCTGCTCGAGGTATTTCAGCTCTTCAGACTCACCCA